AGTCTGAAATATCGAATATGACAAAACTTGTAAACTTTATAATGGGTGTTTAAAATTCACATTGAATGTATCAGCTTTTTACAGCCCCGCTGATGAAGAAGCGGAGGAGAGGAGATAAAGAAAATGAAATAAGAACGTTTCAGTTTGAATTCTTTAGAAACCTCAGCAGGCTTTGGGCATACTATGAATAAATAGGGATGGCACTATGTTGGCCTGCAATATTTGTCATACTGCAAGAGAGCTCCCTATCCTGAAAATAGACCGTGAAGTGGTAGTAAGAGACAAAATGTTTGCGGCTCAGCTAACCACAGGATAAATCTCAAGTGGTGACCAATGCAGGCCCAGTTCACCATTCAGTCCCACTTCTTGCTTCCTGATTCCTGGGAGGAATGACTATAAACTATGTCCTTCTTGTAAATGAACGCTGGTAAAGAAAAGGTTTTGCAGCTAATGAGAGAGACATGCTAGCTGTAATAGGAAGATCACAGGGTGACGATTAAACTGTCCTTCTGGCGAGATACCTAATCCAATCTCCATTGTTGTTGTACTCTCACCCATAATAAAAATAAATTACTTTTGTGACATGTCTGGTCACTTGATTTAGACTAACACATTAGTATTAGACAAGTGAGGCTGTTAGCAGGGGGGTGAGGGAGGCAGCTTCACCCCCCACCAGCCCCACTACTCACAACACTATTTCTTCAAACACTCATCCTCACCTCGTCTTCAAACTGACCATTTCGCATACAACTTGTGACCTTGGCGTGTTGTCACACTGACTGAATTATTTCCTTGATCTGTTATCCACTTTGGATAATTCAATGAATCACAATTCCTTGTTCAAAATCCAGCAAAGTCTAAAGTGTCTGTTATTGGATTTCCCAATGCTCTTTAGCATATTCTAAACTGTTTCCACACCGGGCCCAAAGTAGCCTATATGCTCGGCCAGGTAGGCTATGTTTAATTATGCCCTACAGATGTGTGGAAAAACACTAAACCGCTGAATGAAAGCTCAGTGTCGATTCAACTTATTTCTCCTGACATGTTTATGTCCCAAACCAGGGCGACTGGAGCCATTATCGTGCACGCTGCGTCAAACGGGACGATCGAGTAGTAGGTGAAGTATGTGACCGTGACTCAGCTATGTTCCCGAGTTTAAAAAAAAAGTTAAAAACCTCGACGAAATAAAGAGGAACGCGCTGGATCGCAGCGACCCGGTCCACAGCTTCCACTTCCCCCCTTACCTTCATGTCATAGCGCGTCAGTGGGATCCTAACTTGGGGAGGCTTTGGGTGGAAGAAGAAACGCCTCCGCCTGTCGACATATCCCGGAGCTTTCGGAGAGAGAAAAGACTAAAGATATATTTAAAGCACATAGGACAGCATCCGCGGGAAACCGTGTGTGCTCAAAAGGGATTTAAAAAAAACTATAGCGCAACGGCCTTGTTTTGTTATGAAACTTAGTTGTGTGTGCATATAGCAAATCCACTGGGCTTGCAAATGAACCAGGCCCCCCTATAAAACACACACATACACACACACTCAACCAGCAAAAATGGATGGAGAGGAGGGAGGGCTGCTCGGTGCATGCACAGTCAGAGTTAACCCTTTCACTGCCTGGTGGAAAAGCATCTGCGCTTTCTGGAGCAGGTGACCGGAGCACGCCATAATGTAGCCTACACGCACAAAACAAAAAAGAACTACAGACCATACGTGGTGTAAGCGACACACTGTTAGGACCACAGCTTGCATTTGTTCAGACATCTTCTCATATCCTAAAGATCAACGGAGATCCTATATTGAATTTCAGCAGATCACTGCAAAAAACACTGCAAGTAATTCAATATCTAAATATTACAGAATATACACAGACAGAAACATATAGGGCTATAACAGTTTTTCACTGACAGATCAAATAGTGGGTATAAACGTGTGAGTGAGTACCACAGACCCTTTAATTTCCAATAGTCCAATGCTGGTAACACTTCCTAGAAGACTGAGCGAACATGTTGTCCCAGAGGGATTCAACCACACCATTTCCTTTTCAGCAGCTTCATCAGTGCATCCCTGCTCTTTACTTATTTATCACCACTAATGGGCTGTTGTCTGAAGTCACATCCTCCGGCATTTTACACGGCCTAAAATCTATCCTGTGTTATGGAATCAATCAAATGTGCAAAATAATATCTAGCCAACTACAGGTTGGCAGGCAAAGACGGGTCATGATGTTGACGGAATAATGACTGACTGAAGGTGAAGCAGTAGGAAGAGAGCAGTGGGCCTTGTGAGTGGCTGACTGAGCAGGATATACAGGAAATACCAGCTCCACCTTGAAGCAACAAAGGCTCTTGCAGAAGACAAAGTGTACAGGAATCAGAAGTCCTACAAGCAGAGTGAAATTGACTCTTAAAAATGACGTTGGCGGGATATTTATAACTCTGATAAATGCTTCACATTCGTCTGGACTGTGAATTCCTGACTGTGGGAGTATCCATTTAGTACTTGTTGCAGCTCCCTTTAAATTCCATGCAACTCTCATTGATCAGGTCGGCCTTCCTCAACTTCACACACCTTCTCTGGCATTTTTCCTCTGTGGCATTGCACCCTATGTCTTTCTCTTGAAAACAGACGCCTGAACATTCTTTGTTTCCGAACAAAGGCCTGGTGAGGTCAGTGCAGAGGCGGGGGCACATGCAGGCGAGGCCTGGGAAAACAGAGGGGGAGGAGAGAGGACTGATAAATAACACCAGCCTACTACTGCAAGGCAGTGACGTCATGCATGAGAGGAAATCTGACTTTGTGTGTTTGAGAGAGAGAGAGATTTAATACGTTAATGGCTATTGCTACAAAAACAATAACACCACAAATGTGTGTAATCACTGATCCCTGCATCTTGTTTCTAAAACTTAACTGTAAAACTTCCTGTCTCTCTTTGCTGCCCTCTAGTGGTTTTGTGCAGTGGTGGGAAGTAACTGAGTACATCTACTACAGTAGGCTACTGTACAAAGTACAATTTTGAGGTAATTGTACTTTACTTGAGTAGTTTCACTTTCTGCTTCGTTATAGCCATGTCTTTACTCCACTACATTTATTTGATAACTTCAAATACTTTGCCGGCCCGTTTCAGATTAATAATACAAAATAGAATTAACAAATAAAATACTGTATAATGTATTATCATAAAATAAGGAAGATGTACAAGCTAGCAGTATATACAACAATTAAAATTAGCTCCACCTTTACCAGCTACAACATTATAGTGAACACATTAATGCATCAATAATCAAAATCTAATAATATAATATATATTATTCTGAAATTGGCTATAGCACATAATGAGATATTTTACTTAATGTTGAATGCTTGATGTTGATACAGTCACTTAGTCCTACATAATTTGATTGATCACAAATTTGTTAGAACTTTTCACATCTAAAGTACACACATTTATATATCGCCTATACATATGCTCTTTGTATATATTTGTTTTATCTCATCTGTAAAATTTCATTTTCAATTTTAATTTATTTTATTTTGCTCTTTATATTTTAAATGATAATTCTATATAGTATTTCATCACTATATGTACAGCCATTGACCGCCTCTTGTTTTAAAAGGTGTTATACAAATTGCCTTGCCTTTCACCAAATGACCCCCGCATTAATTTGTTGTCCATATAACATAGATATAGGATATACAGAGGGTTCCTGGAGCCCACCAATAATTAACAACTCCCTATCTTATTTTGTGTTATGGACATTTTTCATTTCAGAAAGCATTTTGTTGCCGGCACTGCTAATAACAGGGTTGTGAGTGTTTATCTTCCATCAGCACATCCTCATACATTTCAGGGCAAAGAAAATGTACCTCTATTACATTTTCCATGGCAACATGGTTTTCTGCTGAACTACACTTGTTGAAATGAGATTGCACTCAGGGTGGCAATCAGACATTCCTCTCAGTAAGACCAACCTATTCTTCAGGTCTCCAGGAAGAAACTATTACATGCTGTCCATTCAGAGTGCCCTTGATTTCTGAAAAGGATGGTTTGATGGAAAAGCCAGCTATTCAGTGTGTTCTGGCTGCTGAATTTAACTGACAAAGTACTTGGTACTGCTTGTTCAGTACTTTACAGACAAGGAAAATGAGACATGTCCTTCAGCTTTAACTGTCAAAAGCCAGATATACTGACGCAAATGAATGGAGTCATATTCTAAAAGCAAATGATCTATGACCTTATAGTAATGTCCCCATGCAATTTCTTTAAATGGTTTATACAGTGGAATATGAAATCAGACTGCAGTTGTTGAAGCTGGCGGTGCTGCAGAGGACTCATCATCGGGCTTCATGAATCCTTGAGCAGAGGGTGAGCTGTTTCTCAGTATGTCGTGATCACTGCTGAAAACAATGGGGGTTGTGTGCAAGTCCTGTTCATACCAGCCTTATGAATAACAAAATCCCAAATGCCCAGTTATGTCAGGCTGTGCAGAAACGTATTATAGCCAATATATTCATATGGCGTATGAAAACACTGTGTGGTGGTTATATGCAATATACACAAAAGAAACAGGCCACAAAAAAACTGAAGACATAGTCTCAAATTACTTTTGTATAACAAAAGAGAACAAACAATTCATTAGTTCTCCAGTGTCCATGACTACAGATATTGGGGTAGTTTTCTGTGCCTAGGCTACACATCGATTTATCAATAATGAGACAGGCAAACACTTGCAATAGCGGTGCTAAAAATAGACAATACATTTAATTAGGATTGAACACATCAGACCAGGCTATGTCATTTTAAACACACTTGGAAGGGTGCACCAAAGTGAAAACCCCTCTCTATATATTTTAAGAGCTTCGGAGCTCATTTCTTCAACTCAATTACAAGGGTCTGGAGTGGAGATCTTGTGTGCTTTTGTTTGTTTGTTTGTTAGGGCAATTGCTTCGTGCTTCTATAAAAGGACTGTGTTCTCTGGATGAGGCTGTGACGCAGAAACTGCGCTCTGGTGTGGGTGTATAAAGAGAGGACCCTCGGCTCTGTTGCGGCGCACACATGGGGAAGGAACTGGGTTGGTGAGAGTTTGATACCCTGTCGGTGTCTGGAGACGCTTGAAAGAACACGGAGATGAACACAACTGAGAGGTTTTACCTTCACGTTGATGGCATCCTCGAAACATTCAACTCTCTCACCGGGCATCACCAATCACGCATTACGCACCCAGTTCTTGAGAGCAAAGTCATTAACCCTGTACCTCAGCACCCCATAGTCTCAAACATATCGAAAACAGGTATGGGTATCATCAAAACGGTTCAAGGGCGCTTGAGACAACAGGGCAAGAAAGTTGTTCCGCGTAGATCCTCGAGTTCTGGCAATCGGCAGGTTTCGACTGATCGACTCCCAAAAAGGTCCATGGATCTGCTGGAGTTGGGTCTGACCAAGCCAAGGAACTGTCACAGAATAGTTGTGCTTGGCGGACCTAGAGTAGGCAAAACCAAGATCCTCCAGCGGTTCTTGGGGGAAGAATTTGAAGAGCACTATGAACCCACAACCGAGGACTTTCACAGAAAACTGTTCCACATAGGAGGAGAGTCGTACCAGGTCGATCTTCTGGATGCCGCAAGTGAGAGGAACTTCCCTGCAAAACGGAGGTTATCCATACTGACAGGTGAGCCCAGTCTTGTATCAACAGAAATACAGTTACAGGAGAGAAACTGTACAATTTTGGTATTTTGGGGAATATAATTTGACATTAAAAGCCTATAGTTAGGAAATCCAAAATGTTTATGAGAATAGATTTGTCCTTAAAGTTTATTATTATCGTTATTATTATTATTAGCCTAATTAATGCTCTTTCTCTCTAGGTGACACCTTTCTGCTTGTGTTCAGTTTGGATGACAGAGAGTCTTTCGATGAAGTCTGCGAGCTTCTCAACGAGATCAAAGCTGCCAAGGCAAAGTTACTTAAATCAAAACATCCCGCGAGAGTACCAGCCGTGATATGCGGGAATAAAGGGGACTTGGGAGCGCAGAGAGCCGTCGCGCGGTCAGAGGTGACAGAAATCCTCGGAGAGGACGTCGCATTCTTCGAAACCTCGGCCAAAGACGGCACCGGACTGGAAGATATGTTCAGGGCCCTTGCCTCTCTGGGCGGACTGCCTGACGAGACCAGTCCGTCGCGGCATCAGATCGTACCCATCCGCACCTACCAGTCGCTATGCATCGACCAGAGAGGCAGGAGAGGGAGCCGGACGCGGGGACTCGGAGCGCCGTGTGCCGCCATGGACCCTCTGGCGCGCCGCCCGAGCTTCACCAGCGACCTGCGGCTGGTGCTAAGATCAAGCACCAAACACAACAAACCCGAGAGGTGTCAGATTCAATGAATTATGAGCCTTCTCGATAAACCAATTGTAGTAGTATGCTACAATGTCGTATTATGTAAGGAGTTATACTCTGTAGCATCTGGCTGGACCGGTGCATTCATAAACTGTTTTTTGTATGACTGATGTATGTATGATGTATAACTGTATTATATTATAATAAAAATATTTCTAATTGTCATATACGCTTTGTCATATGTTCTATCAAAGTTGTAATTCAGACATGTAGTTTATTTAAGAAACAGGTCAGTGAGATAGATACAGATAGCCTATTGTTACTATTAGTGGATATAAGCACTTGTTTTCAAGTGATGCTGCAAAAACATGACCGTAAACCGTGTGTGTGGGAGGAGATGACTCAAACGCCTTAAACCTCTTCTAATATAGCCTATGTTACCACATACAAGACATTTCAACGGCTCCCACGACGTAGTGATTAGCACCAAGGACCGAGGTGTGACACAGCCTGGTTATTCAGCGCTATTAGTCTACACACTCATGTGTCACCATGGTGTTTAGAGGAAGAGACAGAGCGTCATTTACTAAAGAGGAGGAGGTGGGCGAGAGGAGAGAGACATCGTCAACTGTGTGAAATCAGCACCATGGAGAGAGCCCACATTAAACGCTGCGCTCAGTATTTTTCTGCTGCTGAGTAGAAGTTCCATTTATAGCTTGCCACTAGAAAATGCACTGCAGATCCAACCCACTCTCAAGGTCTCCATGAAAAAAACTACTATCTGGGCTGTCCATTTAGAGTGTCCTTGGTTTATGAAAAGGATGGTCTGATGGAAAGATAAGTGTATCTTCATCCATTAGACCATCCCTTCAGTATTCAGTATGTTCTGGCTGTTGAAATTAACTGACGAAGTACTTGGTGCTGCTTGTTGAGTACTATAAAAGTCAGGCAAGGTAAGACACTTTTCACCATGTTCCCTGGCAAAACATTTGCTCTCTTATAACCTAATCAGACTGTTAAAACTGGCACTTCATGTGAGCCATTTCTTCAGTCATAACACTGACAGCGTGTCATGATCAGTGCAGATCACAACGACCGGCCCCATGAATAACAAAAGTCCCAAATGTAGTTATGTCAGGCTTCGGTTAGGAAAACGCTGTGTGGCGGTTATGTGAACATAAAAATACATAAGAAGAAGAAACAGGCCACAATAACACTGAACAAAACATACAAAATTGCATTATAAGAGACGAGAGTGAACACAATTTATTAGTGCTCACACTTCACACCTCCAGTGTCCATGACAACAGGGACTTGGGCAGTTATGTGGACACTCTGTCCATCAGTCCATTCTTTAATTTATCCATAATGAGAGGAAACACTTGCATGTCCTTTCACCAAAAACACAACTGAAGTGGCTGGATCAGTCAATGTTTATGAATCACTCTGGCTGTAACAACACTTCAAAAGCAATTGTCCTTGTGAGAAAGTGATAGCTCATTTGCCACTGGTGTTTGTCATTTACTTCCTCTCCTGTAATATCTATCATTTTGATTTGTGGCATGAGTTTGATTGAAATTTGTCTTTGAAAAACAGCAGCGAACATTAAACATTTAACTTTCACTTTACTACTATTGCTATGCCTTTTCCTATAGTCAAGTTCTGACTGTTTGACTTTAGATAGTTTGTTGAGTTTATAAGCAGCGGTAAATTTCCAGAGGAATATATTCAAATATCTGCTCCATTAAAATCCATTTTTCATTTATTATTGTAAAATGTATTCTTCATATACGCTGAATTGCATTGTTTTAGCTGTTTAATGGCTGAAACCAAACATCGACTCTTTAGATCTACCCAGGGAAATTTCAAGGTAATAATCAGGAAATTACAGAAGCACTTCCAAAGATTGTTCTCCAATCTAACCATTTATAAAAATTAATTTGTACATATATGTTCCAACAAAGAGTTTGAGTCTATTAAAAGAAAGCATAGGATCCAAGGCCAGGAAATGAATATTGTTTTGGTTCATGTGCTATCCACAGTATCATATTTTGAAATGACCATGCACATGCAGATATTGCATGTAGTATTCTCAATACAGACACATACTGAAAAGGCTATTGACGTCAACTCGAACAATTTCCTGTGCACCGAAAGAGTGAGTAATAATTATGTTTAGATGACAAGTAAATTACTTAATGAGAAACATTTCAGGACTAGCAATAACTGCATAATAGCACCTGGAGGCTTTTAAAATATAAACTAGGGTGATGACAATTCTTACAGCATGCTACATGGTCAATATAATGTAAAAGCCAGAGGGGCCAGTTTCATTTCTTTATAGCCACTATAATGAGGGTCAATTTAAGGTGGTTTGAGTTACCATGAGAGCTAAACACTGAAGAGGGAAAAACTCAATTGATAATTCACTTAAATAGGACATGTGAGATGTGAGGATTTGGCCTGTTTTCAGGATGTTTTACATGTCCTGTCATGCTAAACCACAAACAAGCTTTCTCTGAGGTTATCCGCCCTACTAACATTACTGTCATCACGTGTTGGAGGTCTTCTTTGTTGTCTCTGACCGTCTTTGCAGCTCCACCAGTAGAGCTGGCAGTATGCTGTCCAGTAAGGCCAGCCCATCCCAGGAGCAGCGCAGACCCCTAAAAAGGAAAGAAGGACAATCAGTGTTAAGTGTAGAGCTGCAACGATTACCCGATTAATTGGCAGATTAATTGATTTTTCAAGCAAAAATGGCAAAAGCTTGGGGAATATGAGGATACAATGCTTATCTTTGTCCTATATTATAACTGAATATTTTTTGGGGATCAGACTGCTCGTCAAGTAAAACCAGCTATTTAAATTTATCACCTTGGGCTGCAGGAAATTCCAACATTAGGCCATTTAACCCATTTTCTGATCAAAATTATTAATAATGGAATATTTAATGAAAGAATCAGCAGTGTTTGATAATAAAAATAAGTGGGTAATCTCTTTCTCGCCAGTGAGAATGTAAAACTTTGATTTCGAGTAGGCCTATAGTCACCTGTCATCAAGAATGAGTCGTCCACTCCGTAGCAACTCTTGGACATTGACGGACGTACCAAAGGCTTCATGGAGGCCCAGTTGAGGACTAAACAACTCCCAATGCTGTTAAATACCAGAGAATGACCACAAACATGATAATCACATTTCACACTATTTACTGAATGCTGAACCCCATCTTCACTAACAGAGACGATTACACAGATACCGCTGTATAGAATATTTTCCATTAGTGTATTTCATGTAGGTATGAAAGCTTCACCTTGTGATTAATGCCCTCGTTCATTCTCATTCCCATCACCAGCACCTCCTCCAATCTGCCAAACAAACATCTTTCATGAGACACCAAGGACAGGACAGAGTGAGTAAATGGAGTAAATGGGCGAGTCCAGTAATAGCGTTTCACAAGGACACAATGTTTGAAAGAACGAGCACATGTACAGCGATCTCCGGCGCTATGTTTCTCGTTCTGTGTCGAATTACATTGGCTGATACATAACTGTTACATTTCACATGGGCTGAGAAGGTCTGGAAATGACAGCTGGCCCTTCGTGTGATAACCAAATACACTAATTGCACAACACTACTGCCTAAGCTCACAGTTCATGATGGCTGAGTTGAATCCGCCTCCGCGTCCCATGTCCCCTCTTCTGGACTTCACAGATCCAGACTTCGGGCTCCAGAGTCTGGGTCCGGGCCTCCCGAGCAACACCTCCCTCACCCCGAAGAACAAACCGCCCGTGTGCTCCTGTCACAGACAATAGTGTTTAAACAAATTTTTCTACAGGTACAATATTTAATTGATAGCTGCTTTCAACCTAGGTAAAAGATCACCTGGGCCGACACCGATGTACTGTCTTCCCTTCCAGTAGCTCATATTGTGATGGCTCACTGCGTTCTACATAAAACAAAGTAAATAGCATTAGTCCTAATTGGTTCTCTCAGATGTGTTCATGAGGTCATATGGTGTAAAAACATAACAGCTGCCTTATAGATGGAAGTGTTGGTCAAGATATTCCAGCAAAAACAAAACAGAAAAGCTGGATTACAGTAATACGGTTTTTCTGGATTGCTTTAAAACATTTCTTGAAATTATGCCTCAAACATCCTATTTTCAGGTCAAAATGAAGTTCTCCATTCAAAACCACTCAATCTTGCTGAAAAAACAAACTTTGCCTTCAGACATAACACACAAGCCCTCAAAAAACGGTTATAAGTAATGTTATTGTGTTTCTCCCCCTTAAAAACCTTGTACTGTACAGTACAACACACCAAACAACAAATTATTCTGCCCCAGCATCCTGCGTTTGGTCTGGGAAAGGCCAGAGATTTTCGTCCACATCCTCCTCCTCTCCCTACTCCTCCTCCAACTCCTACTGTTCCTCTTCCTTCACCTCTTCCTCCTCTCCTTACTGCTCCTCCTCCTCCATCTCCTCCACATCTTCCTTCACATCTCTCTGTTCCAAAACTGAATTACCTGCCTCAGGCCCTTTTATATATCTACTGAAGCTGATTGAGTGAACAATATCAAATGTTAGTACTTTCTAAAGGATTTGTGTGTACAGTTTAGAGAAATTGGTGTGCCATTTGAAAAATGGAGTTATGGTTTAGAAATTTTAGTTCAAAAGCCTGGTTATAGTGTTTAAGCAACTGAGAAAAATTGTAACATTATAAAATCGCAGCAATGCTAATATGATAATGTTCAGCAGGTATAATGTGTTATGCTTCAGTTACACTTTGTGTTTAGTGTTGATTAGCAAATGTTAGCATGCTAACTTGAAACACAAAGATGGTGAACATGGTAAACATTATACCTGTTAAATATCAGCATTATCATTGTAAGCATGTTAGCATTTAGCTCAAAGCACTGCTGTGTACAGCCTCACAGAGTGGCTAGCATGGCTGTAGAGTCTTAGTTAAATTCAAGGCTTATTATTGTTAAAACTTTTTGTTAAAGTTATTTTCCTTAATGTGTTTTAAAAGTTTTTGTTATGCATTTCCATTCCTAATATAATGCACGTTTTTAGTATTTCAAAAGGTTCTCTACTCATAAACTTGGTTTTCAATGTCTCAGGACAATCAGTGAACTGTCTTCCTGCTGAGGACTTACATGTCTTGCAAAGTTTGACACCTCGTACTGCAGAAAGCCATGCTGGTGGAGAGTCCTCCTGGCACACTGGTACATCTCTGCTGTCACATCTTCAGCAGGCACAGTCACTTCTCTTCGTTGCACCTGTTTGAACAGCTGGGTGCCTCGCTCCAAGGTCAGCTGGTACAAAGACACGTGGTCGTCGCAAACCCTCAACAGCTGAGACAACTCATTCTCCCAGGAGTCAACGCTCTGTTTGGGGCGTCCG